GGGGGTGGAGGCCGTGAGACCCACCCGTCCCGCTGGGGACCATGAGCTTTGCCTCCCGTGGGCGGTTCCTCTGAGCAGGGGTTTCCCGGGCTGTGGGGCTGGGAACTTATGAAGGCTGGCCAGAGGCCGCCCTATCCTGGCCCCTCCTCCCTCCAGCGCCTCACAGCCTCCCTGTTTCTAAGCTGCTCCACACACACCGGCCCCACCTCGACACTTGGGTCATGAACTCACCGAGACCACAGTCTTCCCGCCCAGATCTGTGGCACTTCCCGGAATGACACTGAGGGACACGGAATTCGTGCACCTCCCCCTCAAGCTTTTACCTTGTAACAGAGTGAGTGGCGGTGTCATTTTCCTCTTCCAGCGTGCTCAGCTGTAAGAACACGGCCCCCTTACTGAACTGATTTTCTGCCCTGCTGGCCTTTTCATCATGTGGTCCTTAACACAGACAGGGGAGGAGGTGCCCACTGCCTGATTAGCAAAACCAAGCCCTTAGTGAGGTGCACGAGTGTGTTTCCCATAAGACTGGCCCTGCTAGCTCTTTACGGTCTCTAATGCCAGCTGAGTACAATACCTTCCTGGTACCACAAGCCAGCTTTGCTATCTTGTACTTAATGACCTTTTCTCCTTATCTCTCTTGTCGTTGGGCAGGTGAAGAAGCTGAGACAAATAGAAGAGTGTTTCCTCCTCAGGCCACAAAGCAGGTACTTTCTGCAGCATCAGGCAGGAAGGGGACTCGGCCCCCTTCTTGCCTTTACAGTTACATCAGTTCTCACTCGGGATTCCACCCACATTCACGTCTGATTGTTGAGATTTCGTGGCATAAGGAAAAAAGGATTGGCTAAGAAACTTAGTGGCAGAAACTAGGCAAATCTTCATTCTAGTTCACATATCCCAATACAGGAAATGGAGATTGGCAGGCCCCGTGGGGGACATTCCTCATCCCTCCTAAGTAATCCCAAACCAAGGATTAGGGTGAGCCTGTCACACATCAGCAGAATGATGATGCTCAGAGTCAACAAGTGTGAGGACATGGCACTGTTGGTTGATGGAGTGTACACAGGTGAGTCTCTGTAAAGGCCATTTGCTGGTGTGTATCGGCATGTAAGATGTGCATGCCATGCGACACAGGCATCCTCTTGGACTTATCATCAGAAAACAAGCATTAGTGGTGATATTTCTAGTGTCAGAAAATGAGAAGCAGCTTGTAACTCTCCATCAGTAGAGGAAAGGTTAGGTAAATTATGGGACACCCAACAGAGGGATGCCATACAGGCAGTGAAACATAAAGTAGAAGAAGATGTACAGACAGAAAGAACCTGCTTGATGTGCTCTTTGGTGGAAAGATCTCGACCTATCCTGTAGATATGTTTGGGGAACAGCTTACCCCTATGTAGTAGTTTGCCAAGATGTCCGTAAAAAAGTACCACAACCCAGGTGGCTTGAACAAAAGGCATTTATTGTGTCTCAGTTCTAGAGGCTAGAACTCTGAAATCAAGGTGTCGGCAGGGTTCGTTTCTTCTGTGCGCTGCAAGAATCTGTTCTATCCCTGCGCCCTACCTTCTGGTGGTGGCTGGCAATCTTTGGCTTGTGGAAGCATCTCCCTGATCTCTGCCTTCATCTTCTCATGATTTTCTCCCTGTGTGCGTGTGTGTCTCTGATTGCTCCCTTTTTATAAGGTCATTGGTCTTAGGTCATACTGGGTATGGGCCCACTATCAGGACTTTTCTTTTACTTGATCCCCTGTATAAAGACCCAATCTTTACATATAAGGACACATTCTGAGGTGCTCAGAGTTAGTGCTTCAACACAGGAAGTTTGAAGGGACATCATGCAACTCATAAGAACCTGCAAAGGCCCTGAGTAGGAAGAAACATGGCATATTCTGGGGAGGGAAGGATGGCCTGTGTGACTACATGGTGGTCACTAAACGGGAGAGGAGAGCAGACGGCTGTGGCAGGGAGCCAGATCATGAGGGACCCCTGTGAGATGTGTGCATTCTGTTGTGGTTGGAGTGGGAATCCCTTGGAAAATTTGAGCACAGGAGTGACATAATCTGATTGCCGCTGTGCCAAGGCCACTATGACTGTAGTGTGGACACCAGGGTGCAGAGGGCAAGCGCTCAGGCAGGGGCCGATCGGGGAACTGCGTGAGAAGGCAGCAGGACATGAAGGGCTTGCACAGGGATTGTGGCCTTGGAGACTATAGAAAGGGATCAGATTCAGGTTAGTATTTGGAGAAGGTGCCATGTGACATTGGCAGGTGTAGGAAAGAGGAAGGAAAGAGTGCTGCTAGGTCTGGGGCAGGAACGCCAAGTAGATGGTGATGCCACTTACAGAGGTGGAAGGGAGGTGGATCTGGCAGGAGCTGGAGGCACGTGAGGGCTCAGAGGAGGGTCTTACTTCATGTGATGAAGGGCGTGTGGCCACGTTCCTCTGGAAACAGAATCACCTCCTCGTGGGAGAGGGGGAGGTACTGATTCTGAGTGAGAGAGGACAGTGGTAGGACCCAGGTCCTGGAGTGAGACACAGAAGCGCTGTTGACAGTGGCAGCTCACCTGAGAAGCGGGAGGATGACAGAAGATGTGGTGCAGAGTCAGGCAGGACTGCAGGTTGGGACGGGAGTGAACACCAGGTACTCTCGTCCCGGTAGGGCCTTGATCCTGAGTGTGGGCATGTTTTCTTAGAATCATAGGAGATTCTGAGTTTAAGTGCGTGTATTTGAGGAAAGGACGGGGAGGCACCACGCAGAGTGAAGGGAGGCGGCTCTTGGGTGTGGTACAGACCCAGGGGATGAGTCCCCAGTCGCAATAATGATGGCGATGATGACAAGTGCAGCCACAATCTGACGGCCCTGTGAGGTACCAGGTACTGGGCTGGGTGCTCTCAGTGCCTCATCTCCTGACCTCATGGCTACGAGGAAACTGAGGCTTCTTGACATGCTGTGACTGGCCGGAGTTTCTGTCTTCAGGCCCATGGCTCTATCTGCCCAGGGCCCGTACTCCATCCGTTGCACTGTCCTTGAGCCAGGAGGAGTGGCCCCTGTGCCAGGGGACAAACAGAGGCTACAGCGACCAGGACAGAAAGTACATGAAGTCAGGTCCTGTGTGGTTGAGAGCCCTGGCTTCATCGCTCTGTACTGCTTGTCCTCAGCAGTTGAGTGGGCCTGGCAGTGAGGATTAAATCCAATGATGCACGGATTGTGCCCACCCCAGGGCCTGTCACATAGAAGGTGTGTGTGACTAGGGCTAGTTGTTCTTATTCTCATTTTTTCCTCAGGGCTCAGGTCTGGGACAGGGGAAGGGGCTTGAATAGGGTGGCACTGAAGGAGTCAGGAGGAGACACCTGATGGGGCCACCTGACGACACAGGTCACTCCGAGGGCTGAGCTGAGGTTGGATACCAAGCACTTGTGCTCAGCAGCCCTGGGGTAGGAGCCAGGAAGCTCAGGGCCTGTGGTGCATGGGGCTGGCACAGCCAGTGAGCTGAGAGTATCAGCGAGGTCTGGGTGTGGAGAGGGCAGCAGGAGAAGAAGCAGAGCTCAGGACTGTCCCTGTGTGCTGCCAGAGGGCTGAAGCCAGCCCCGACTCTCACTAGCCCACACTCCTCTGTGTTCCCCTCTGTCACTTGATGACCCCTGACCACACACTGTCCTGCCTGTGCCTTTGTCTAGCTCTCCCTGCCACAGTCCGTGAGCTCTCTGAGCATTCCATCAGGTGGATCTGAGTCACCCAAATCCCAGCCTTCCCAGTCCCAGTCTTCCCTTGGGCCTGCTGTGCTGACAGATGGATGCAGTGAACCATTGAGGTCAGCATGGATTCAGGGCACCTGGGAAAGAGGGTGAAGGTCGGGCCCACTTGCCGTGAGCTTGGAGGACTGGTGTGTGATGAGCTTCTGTGTTCCCACAGACCACCGAGGCCCAGAGAGCTTGTGGAAGATGAAGATCTGTTGCCTCTCCTTCCGGCAGCCTTATGCTGGCTTTGTCTTAAACGGGGTTAAGACCTTGGAGACACGTTGGCGTCCCCTGCTGGGCAGCCACCAGAACCATACCATCGCCATCCACATTGCTCACAGGGACTGGGAAGACGACACCTGGTGGGAGCTGCTGCAGGGGAGGCTCAGGATGACGCCCGCTCAGATTCAGGCCTTGCTTCGCGAAGGGGAAAAGTTTGGCCGAGGAGTGGTAGCTGGTAAGTGACGATGTGCCGATCCTTGTACAGATGAGTCCAAGAGCTGCCACCCTGGATCTGGCTGGGGAGTTTCGGGGCTTCTCTTTTGGCTTGAAGTGGTTGGTGTATTTGCTGTGGTTTTGTTAAGCAACACACCTTGAAGGGGGCAGCAAGGGGCCCTGGGCTGGGGTCTGCAGGCCCAGCTTGCATCACTTCCGGTAAATCATTTCTCTGCTCTGGGCCTCGGTTTCTCCTTCTGACCTGTGAAGCTGGGTCAGGTCCATGATGTCATGTGGTGCTGGGCTGTGCGTGTGCATGTGTGGGTGAGCGTGTGTGTGGGGCAGAGACCACCAGAGGCAGCACAGCACATTGTGTGGGTCGGCTGCCTGCCTGGCTTCACATGCCTGCCCTGTCCCCACCACCAGTGACACCCTGGGCTAATCCCTTCACTTCCATGGGTGGTGGAGGGTCCACATCCGCACCTGTCCCTGGTGAACTGCCTCAGCGTCTCGTTGCCTCCATGTTCCCGGGCAGTGGCTGGTGCCCTTCCATTCTGAAATTCCTACCCTCAGCAGTCTTGCTGGCACCTGCACGTTACTTGTGTGGCTTCACGGAGGAGCAGGCCCTGTCCTCTTCATTTCTGGAGCCCTCCCTCTGCCTCATCCCAGATTCCCGGAACATGTTTGGTTCATCATCTGTGCTCAGAGAGAAGGCCCTGCTGCCCTTTTTGTCCTTTTGGTGATGTCATCTAAGTCTGTAGCGGCCATAATTTTGAATAACCAAGTTGTCACACTGGCAGGCCTTGGTTTATGGAAGGAAAAACCACCTGAGTGTTTCTCTCTTTGTGCACAGGGCTCATTGACATTGGGGAAACTTTGGAGTGTCCTGAAAACTTAGCTCCTGAGGAGGTTGTGGAACTGGAAAATCAAGCTGTCCTGACCAACCTGCAGCAGAAGTACCTGACTGTGATTTCCAACCCCAGGTGGTTACTGGAGCCCTTACCTAGCAAAGGGGGAAAGGATATATTCCAGGTTGACATCCCAGAGCACCTGATCCCTTTGGGACAGAAGGTGTGACGTGTGTAGGCTCTTGAGAGGAATGCAGCTGAGAAACCAGCTAAATCATGGCACCGTTGATTCGCCATCTTGGCTCACGTGCATGTAGATCAGGTTAAGTGTGAATTACCCCTGCATTGTAGCGTGCTTCCCACTACATGAGGTTCACAGAAACGGGTTTAAGTTCTTACAAGAAGGGAATAGGGGGTGTTGCTGGTCATTTTGTTCCTGCTAATGTAGATTGTAGAAATAAATGTGTCAAACATAACTGTGAAGTGTTTGGGGCTCCCTTATTTTTCCCCAGTCTTTGTTCTGGTCGAAACTCATCAGCTCTTTGAACAGCAATCTTGTGACCTTGTGCAAAGTGTGGGTCCAGGCACTGAATGGTTGCTCAACAGTGATCAGCCATCAATAGCCTGACACATCCAGGATGAAGAGGACATCAGAGTTAGAAACATGCAGCTCTCCATCCTTCCAGATTCTTCTAGGTCTCTTGTACACGCATCTCCCAGTCATGAAGCCCAATGGTTCATGAAGCCCATGTGTCACCTGCAGCACAGAGTTTCTTCAGATCCAAACAAAGGACACAACTTACAGCTCTCATTGAGTGAGGCCAATTTTGCAAACTGTTCAGTAGTGTTATAATTTTGTAACATATCTTTCTGGTGCGTGCATGCGTGTGTGCGTGTGTGTGTGATTTCCCAGTGGCTGGCCTCTGGAGGGCCCCTGGGTCCTGGGTTGGGACACTGAGCTGTGGAACAGAAACTTCCTGGGAACAGTGTGGGGACAGCTATGAGGAAGGAATCTCCTGTTTCAAGGTATGGGAATAATGTAAGGTGATACTCCCAAGGTCAGGAGTGAGGCTGTTCTGTCTCCTGAGCAGCAGGCAAGGCTCAGGGGACCAGATCTTGCTGGGCCCACCCTCCACAGTCCCCAGCAAAATCCTTTGCTGCGTGGGTAGAAATGCTGCTGCCTCAAATGGAAGAGGACAACCGGGACCAAGCCTGTCTTGGGCAAGATCTTTAGCCTCATATCAGTGAGACGTGTGGTATAGATGGTTAGAAAAGACAGGGACTCCCAAGTCTCGTTTACATGGTTTATTTGCTACCGTGGGGTTTTGTTGTGTATATTAAGACCAAAAATGCGTTCACCATTAGTAAATGGCCCTTTTTATCACTCTTCAGTGGCCTGAGATTAGGGACCTGGATTGTCCTTAAACTATTCACAGAATGCACACATGTAATCAGCCCTCCTGCTCTTCGTCATTGGGCAGCTCACTGGGAGACATTACTAAGAGAGAAGACATCCAAATGGAGTAATAGATGTAATACAGAGTCATTGGGAAACCATTGCCTGGGTAAAGCGGGAGGTTGAGGAGGTACGGGAGGAGCGGGTCCCCTGCACCTTCGATCCCAGTGTCAGCCCTGGGCTCAAACCTAACATTCACAGAGATGTCTTCCCCCCTGCTTGGATCATTTGGCTCTTCAGGGGGACAATTTCCTATGGGATGTCTAGCAACACTGCCCCTCGACAGGGTACCCCCAGGGAACATGGAGAACTGAGGGTTACTGGGTCCCTGGACATTTGGGGCTTCCCCCTGGGACTTGCTGTTGGCTTCTTTCTTGGCGTTAATGTGTTGGATTCGTAGTGATTGTCTCGTAGGTACCAGCTTCTTTCTCTTTGCAGTTGGTGAACAGGTTGCTGGCAGAACAGTGTTTCTGAGTTCACCTTTACTGTGAATGTTCTCAAGGAGCCCAGGATGATCTCTCTGAAAATTGAGGTTCCTGTAAAGCTGAAACAAAAGGAAACATTTTAGTCACTCTGAGATAAGATGTGCATTCTTTAATCCCCCAGAATCACAAGGGTCTTATTCGATGATGGAGAAAGGAAATGTTTAAGGTGCTGGAAGTGTCACTGTGCCCCATAGTATGACCTCACTAGAGAGAAACAATTCATAAGTGAGGGTGGCAGTCTGTACATTTGACATTCCCTGGCTCTCAGAGTCTCTACTCCTACCCACAGAGTATCTCTAAGGGGGTGGTAGTTTAATATCGAATTCTGTGCTTTCAAAGTGTAGATTTTGATCTTTCAATAAATAGTAGCTCATGTTTAAAATAGTTGTCCTCACAAATGAAACTCTTGTAGTATGTCATTCACCTTGGCGACCTGTAAAGATGTTTGAGTAACAGAAAAGGGGTAAGAGGAATATTTTCTACTTTACCATAATTTTCTTGTTCCCCTGAGAATCAGCTGAAGAGGCCTTTGTGCGTATTTTGCTGAATCCATAGCGGTTCATTTGGCGAATGAAGGTCTTCATGCTGTCTGTTTCAAAAATCCTGTCCACGCCTCTCCTGCGAAGAATTTCCCTCTGGAAAAGGTCTTTCTCTATGATCACGGTGTGTCCATCATCATCCCAGTGCACAGACTCGAAAGCATCATCCTCAACGATCTTCCAGAGCCTCCTCGGGAAGGAGAGTGTTCTGGGGTCACTGTCTTCTACACGGGACGCACGTTGGTTTTGATCTGCTGGTTGTTCATCATTTTGGGAGTCTGCATCTTGTGCCATGGCTTGGTCACCTTGGCCGTCTGATACCTCGCTGGGATCCAGGTTTGGATCAGGTGGGACCCCGCCTGCTGGCTCTCCACCAGAAGATGAGGCGAGCTGGGTTTCACTGTCTTCAGTATCCTGACTCTCCATGAGGCAACACTGTCATCAGGAGCAGTTTGTACCCCACACCATTAACCACTGTCCCAGTAAGTACAAACTGCCTTCAGTCTGAGTGGCGATGCCCAATAAATATTGTCCACACGATTCTAGAATCTCAGTAGTGGGGCAACCAGCTGCTGAAGTCATTGTCTTCTTTATTTGTCATGTGATGTCACATAGGTGGCTCAAGGCCAGTCTGGAGATTGAGCCCTGGCCATGTGTTGGGGGGGAGCCAGTGGCTGGGCCTCCCAGCTTCTCTCTTTTCTCAAAATGTAGAAAGGGTGGTTCAGATTCCCAGAAAAGTCTCCCATGTGCTGACAAACACATAGTTTCACAGGGCCCACAACTGGACGAGTTGAGCAGCCTCGATCCCATGGCCACTCCCACCCCTGAAGACAGGGGAGGCCTGTTGCTGGCCTCTCTGTTTTGCTCAAGGGCCAGTCCTCAGTTAGTCCTAACTTGAGTATCGCCAGGACTGTCTGGGTCAACTGGGCCCCTGGGTGACTGTACCTCCCAGGAGATGGTGGTCCGTACCAGGCTGGGAAATCTAGTCTCGGTTTGTCTCCCCCCCCCCATCTCTTTCCTGCTTTGATCTCTTCCAACCACTCCTGCTGGTGGGTTCCATCTGCTCCCATGGGCCCAGAGAAAGAATGTGTCTTATTACCACCTGCTCCAGTTGTCCCCAGAGTGGGTCTGCACCTGAGCACGATGGGTGTGCTCCTCTTGATCCTCAACCAGAGCGGTACTCAGAACACGGATGTGTGATTGGATGGGCACATGCTCTCCTGTGCTATGGACTGTCATGTGGAGCTCTGCTTGGCCCCAAATCAATCCCACCACCGATCACTACGGGGTTGTTTTTACTTCCCATTTCTTCTTTATAGATCCAGTTCTCATTTTCGGAGACCTTCTCATTTCTGAGGCCTGCATTACAAAGACTCTATTCTGAGGACAGTTCCTACTTGTTTAGCTAGACATGAGTAAAGGAATGTATTTGAAAACAGATGAGAGTCTTGGGAGCTGGGGGAGCGGTGGGGAAAAAACCCAAATAATTGTTATTTTCAATTACAGATGAGGATAGAACCCTTACTTTGGTGATACCTGCTCTCTAGCCATTGCATATAACTTTGTTCTTAATATTCACTCTGCACAGGAGATGGATTTGTACAGGACAAAGGCTCCATGCTGAGAGGATTCTGGGTCCTCTTCCTACTCAGTAGTAGCCCCTCCAAAGGCCAGGCCTTTGTTACTAAAAGGGGAGTGCAAAGTTGGTTTGAAAGAGACCCTTTCAAGGTATCTTTCAGTCCAAGGGCACTAATGCATAATCATTTCTGGATTGGTCTGTGGTAACAATGCTTTTAGACAAGTTTATAAAACCTTCATTCGTGGACTCAGTTTAACCTGTATGCACGTGCACTTACAGCCTTAGAATTGAAATGAACTTTATTTTTGATATCTCCAATGGCGTCTCCTAGTATTTTCAGTGAAAGAGCCAGTGTGTTTCACTTGCATGGCAAAGTCTTTTTTCTTAAGCAAATTCTTAAGCCTGAGAGTGACATATCGCAGTGGCCTTTGCTAGTTTATGCATGCTCCTGATTACTTCTATGAAAGGCTTTGGCCGCTGGGTGGGAGGGGAATGGTAGTGAAGAGAATGCCCAAGGAATCCATAGCTCTGGCTTTCAGCAAAGAGCTGCTATTCATTTGACTGGATTTAGACCCATGTATGTCCTGTGGCTTACATAGGACCATTAGCTGACATTCTCCTTTGTTTTAAGAGTCAGTGAATGTCCACTAGGATTGAGAGTGTACGGCCTTTGGCTCTTCTTATTCCCTGAAGGGGAAATAATTCACAGTGCCTTCTCAGTCCAGTCAGAGAAAGACATTATAGGAACTCAGGTCTCCCTCAGCTTCGGCCTCTCAGTCCTTCAGGGGCCTTTGGCTGCCACTCAGACAGTCTTTCCAAGGAACCTGCCATGCTCAAGCAACTTTGAGAGAAATGATCAGTTTTCTCTTCAGTGCTCCAGAGCCCCCCGAGATGACCCCTCTGTGTCACCAGCTTATGAATGGAATCACCACAGTCCTGCCACCCAAGCAGAGCGCAGGTGACTCAGGTACCTGTGAGGACCAGTGACCCCCTGGGAAAGTGATCTAAGTCATACCTTGCTGCAGCTGCTCTCTCTCTCTCTCTCTCTCTCTCACTCTGTCTCTGTCTCTGTCTCTCTCTCTCTCTCACACACACACTCACACTCATAGACAGTGAGTGACAGTCTGGTGGCTGATGAGCTTTACCATAGAAAGCTCACCTCAATAGTAAGAAGAGGCACGACAATGGTCATCCAGCTCAGCGCCATCGTGATGTGCGTCCTTCGCTGTTCCGCAATCACGTCCATCGAGCGCAGGAACAAGACGGACCACACGATGTAGTAGAAGACCACGAGGCAGAGGAAGGACATGAGAATCCACAGGGGGACACACACCACCTGAGGGGAGGAGGAGAGGAGGATCTGTCTACACCTTCTGCCCCGGCCTCTGACAGGAGGCACCGTCGTCACCTTGCTCTC